ATCTTTTTTCCCAGGCTAAAAAGCCCTAACCACTTTAAACCTTTCTTCACAGGGGAAGTGTTCCACCCTCTTAAGTATCCTAGTTGCCCTTTTCTGCACCTTTTCTGATGCTACTTTTTTTAAATGTGCACTGACAAGAACTGCACACAATACTCCAAATGAGGCCGCACCGTAGATTTATACAGGGGCATTATGATACTGGCTGATTTGTTTCCAATCCTCTTCCTAATAATTCCCAACATTGCATTTCCCGTTTTTATTGCCGTCCCACACTGGGTCGACATCTTCAATGAGTTATCTAGCACTGCTCCAAAATCTCTCTCCTGGTCATTCAGTATTCAGAAAGCAGCAGGGGGACATTTGAACCTTCCAGGCATTCCGTTTCTGACCTAAGAGTAGCAGTTCTCTCACAAAGGAATTTCAAAGGGAGAATAGAAAGAGAGACTGCTGAATTGTGACTGATAATGAAGCTTAAGACAATGCATCCTCCTGGACCGAATTGAGACCTAGGTTTCCTGTCTCATTACCAATGCTGCTTTTTCCTCGCCTACTACCCCTCTGCGTATCACACCTAATCTAATGTTATCTGTTATTGTCATTCACCTGCTATTCTCATTTGGCACTGAAGTAACTCTGTTCTCCATGATAGAAGGACAGATGGACTCACATTCTAGCTGTATCTGGAAAAGTTAGTACTGACTCGCGAAAGCTCATCCCCTGCCACAGATTTTGTTAGTCTTTAAGGTGCTACTGGACTCTTGCTCTTTTCTCTCCTGGCCAGTTACTGACAGTCTCTTTATCCAACTTTGTGGCCAGAAACAACGTGTGGCTGCAGAGGGAGTGGGGGAGATAGGAGAGACAGGGGGAGGTTTTGGCGAACAAGATCCCCTGCGTGTTCCAGCCATAAATGCCTCTGTGCTAATCCCGGGCTGCTGTGTTGATAAAAACGTGCTGACTTAGGCGGGATCTTCTGCTGTGTATTTAACTAAAGCCTGTCTCTGTAATTAATGGAGGGATAAATTGTGGTTTAATTACTCAGAAAGCACCTTCGGTGAAGGATTCATGGTAATTGGTATGTAGCCTCTTGAAGGATTCACAATTCTGGCAGCCGCCTTAGCTGCGATTTAAATACCGGTTGACCAGCTGCTCACCTGGGGGGGGGGTCTCCAGCAGTACCAGGAACCCACCAGGGAAGAAAAAGGATGATATTCTTCACAGACTGAGTTTGCCTCTTTATAAGAATGGTACACTCCCCCCCCCCATCTTCCTTTTTCCTTTACGACTTTTGCTGCGTTGTCTCTCGATTGGCTAACGCTGCAAGTCCCCAGTTTCGCAAACCGACCAATCATTTATTCAATTTTTTTTTAGTACCCTTTCCCAAAGATCCTCGAAGTGGCTTCCGTCGGCCAATCTAATGTCAGCCAGCTCAAATCCAGTTAACGCACAGTCAGTAGCGGTAAAACAAATGCTGGATTTAAGCTGTGCTGGGAAATACAGCGGCAGACTTTGACCACCTCCTGTCCAGTCGCCGATGGGCTCGTGTTAGCTGATTCGGATGGCAGATTGCCAGCTTTGACATCCTTACTGCCGTTACAATCGGTGGCCATTGTCGTGACTTCTAGCACACCACGGAAAGCCTTCGAAACCCAACCAGGGGGTCACAATGCAATCCTGTGCATGTTTACTCTGAAGTTTCAGGTCTCGTTTTGTTCAGCTGTCAGAACCCTGGAGCGATCAGTTCCCAACAACAGTCATTCAGAAAAATAAAAGTTTATTGAGACATTGAAAGTATCCAGACTCGTAATGTTTTGTGTTAGAACTAACCCAAAAGTGTGCGAAGCCAATAATTATACTAAGCCCACCTAACATTCTAAATGGCCCAGAGCCAATCACGCTAAACCCCGAGCCCGCCAGAATATAACAGTCCCATCTTCCCAGGGGAAAGCTGACACCAGGAGCCCAAGGTTACATCTCTAAGTCTAGTTTGATAGCAGCCGGCCAAGCAAGCAGAAAACGAAAGTGAACCTTTCAGGTCATCCGGGCTTCCCCCATGGCAACTCAGATGTTGACACCGGCAAGGTATACTCCTGGTTAAGCATTTTTTTTATTGGCAGCCTTGGTTGTACAAAGAGGGCAACCAAGATGACGAAGGGGGTAGTCGATATTAGCAGAACAAAATTCAAGTCCATTAGCACCATGGAGACCATCCCGATTTTCCAGGCCATAAGCTTTTGTGGGTTAAAGCTCACTTCATCAGATGCAAATAAGAATGAAGATCCATCAGGTCGGAAGACGGGAGGGAGGTCACCGAGAAGGGCCGACTGGAGTCAGGATGCAGGGGTACTAAGTGAGCTTCGACGCAGAAAAGCTGCAGGTGGTGGAGCATGCCTTCAGTTGCAGCCAACCAGGCCCATAGCCAGGAATTTTTTTAATTCAGGGGACCATTAAATAAGTCGGGGGCACCCCCCGCGCACACACCACAAACAAGCAGCCCTGCTCCTGCCCTTCCCTGCAACTGAGTGGTGAGTTGCCAGGGCAGGAGAGTGGCGAGCCCGCCCGAGGAGGCTGCCTCCGTTGCCCACCTGCCACTGCCGTGGTCCCTTCCCCGTTATCACCCCTGCCACCTGGTCCTCCTCCTTCTCGTCCTCCATCTGCAGCTGAATGGCAGGTGGAGGGAGCTGGAGTGGGCACACGTGTCCCCTCTGGCAGTGCCCACTCGCCTTTTGGCTGGTGCTGCCGATAGTGGGGAGGCGAGAGAGCAGCATGGGATTGAAAGGCAGTGCAGGGCTAGACTTCTTGCTGGCTTGCTGGTGATGAGAGAGAGCATGGCTGCCGGTGGCATGAGACGAGCGAGAGCGGCGTGGGATTGGAGGACGGTATGGGGCTTGCTGGCGATGAGCATGATAAATAAAATTAAAAAATGGAAGTCAGGGGGCCTGGGCTAGATGGGAAGTCGGGGGGGCTTGTCAGTAGGTCAGGGCCCCAGGCCCCGAGGGGCCCCACTGTAGCTACGGGCCTGCAGTCAACTGCCCCCCGTAGGATTTTCAAGGCATGGGATATAGCAGGTAGAGAAAGAAGTCCTTTTCCTCCTTTTTCACAAGACAAGAACTCGTGGGCACTCCATGAAATTGCTGAGCAGTCAGGTTAGAACGGATAAAAGGAAGTCCTTCTTCACCCAAAGAATGATGAACACATGGGATTCACTGCCACAGGAGGTGATGATGGCTACAAGCATGGACAGCTTCAAGAGGGAATTAGATAAGCATATGGAGCAGAAGTCTATCAGCGGCTATTAGCCACAAGGGATAGACAGGAACTCTCACTCTGGGGCAAGGGATGCTCTGTCTTCTCGGTGCTTGGGGGGCAACAGTGGGAGGGCTTCTAGTGTCCTGGCCCCACTGCTGGGACCTCCTGATGGCACCTGGTATTTTTGGCCACTGTGTGACAGAGAGTTGGACTGGATGGGCCATTGGCCTGATCCAACATTGGCTTCTCTTATGTTCTTATGTTCTTAACTAACTAGGGCTGCTGGTCCTACTTAGCTTGTGAGTTCGGACGAGATCAGGCAAGGCTGGGCTATGCAAAGTCACATCCACAAAAGCTCATACTGGAAAATGTTGGTTTCTAAGGTGCTATGGTATTGGAATTTAGTCCTTCATGTGTGTCTCTGAGCTGGGACCAGGCGAGGAGCCCTGAGGTGACCTCCCATTTCCTGCTTTGATGCTTTGCTTGATTTACCAAATGCTTTTGTATCCTGCCCTTTCCTATCTTACAGAAAAATGATGCATTTGACTGAAGGCTGAATAGTCTAGGACTTGTAAGTTTAGAAAAGGGACAACTGCGGGTGGGCATGATAGAGGTATGTAGAATTATGCATGGGGTGGAGAAATCTGAAAAAGAGAACTTTTTCGCCCCTCTCCCGAAACGCTAGAACTCGAGGGCATCCAATGAAGCTGATGGGCAGTAGGTTCAGGGCAGACAAAAGGAAATACTACTTTACTGTCCGATCCCACAGCTATCAATCCAATACACGTTTGAAGCAAAGTAATATTTATTGAAGCTATGATGATACTGGAACAAGTGCACTGTTTAGAATAACCAGAACAGTCAGGGCAAAGTATAATAAAGCAAATTCATAAAGACAATAACCAATAGACTTGGTTCCCGCTCGGGCGGTTAGGCTGTCGGACTCGCACCCAAAGCCTGGGAAGCAACGGCTTTCTAAATGATAAACAATTATAGTTCTCTCACACTCTAGTTCATTATAGACTAAGCGAAGCCGACTCTCCACCACCTGTGACCTTGCTGATTATGATAGTTCAAAGCAGCATTAGCGTACAGTAAAAGGAATGCATGAGACAAGAGAGTGCGCGCGTTAGAGTTACAGTAGACATGCACAGTTGCATACCACCATACGGGGGGGGGGGAACCCCAAGGAATGAACTTCAGACATATGCAGAATTCTTTGGCAGCTTGCTGACATTTACACAGGGAGTGATTGAAATGTGGATTTGCTGCCAGAGGATGTAGTGATGGCCACAGGAATCAACAGCTTTCAAAGGGGATTAGAAAGATTAATGGAGGGATAGATCTATCAATGCCTACTAACCATGGTGGCTGAGGAGAACCTCCATATTCAGAGGCAGTCAACCTTCAAATCTCATAGCCAGGAGGCAATATTAGAGGAAGTCATCGGCCTCTATGCCATGTTATTGGCCGTCCTGAGGAACCGGTTGGCCACTGTGTGAGATGGGATGCTGGACTAGGTGGACCACTGGTGTGATCCAGCAGGGGATCTTCTGATGTTCTTATCAGGGGAAGACCTTGGCCTCTCTGCCCTGTTGTTGGCCCTCCAGAGGAACTGGTTGGCCACTGTGTGCGAGACAGGATGCTGGACTAGATGGACCACTGGTCTGATTCAGCAGGGCTCTTCTTAAATTCTTATGTCAGATCCATAACAGGCAGCGAAGACAAACAAAAAACCCTTTTCTCTCTTCCAGAACTGAAGACCAAATTGGAGAGTGAGAAGAAGATCAACCAGCGCCTCAAGGAGATTTTCCATTCCAAGATCCAGGAGTTCCGCAAAGTGTATTACAGCCTGACGGGGTACCAGATCGACATGACTTGTGAGAGTCAGTACCGGGTCACCTCGATGTATGCTGAGCACAAGGAAGACTGCTTGATCTTTAGGGTAGGCGTGGCCTTTTCCTAATGTATACGAAGGTGCTCTGTTTTCTAATATTCCTGTAACTCCTCTATCTGCCCCTTGGTTGCCGAGATGATACACACCCGGTCGACACTTTTGCTGGATTTTGTATTCTTTTCTGGCCTGCGGACTTGGAAAGTGTTTACAGGCTTACAGGTATTTTGTTTCGTCTCAAAGGGAGTTTACTTCGACATTTTGAAGCAGGGGTCCCCAACCTGGTGCTTGTGGGCACCACAGCAGCTGCTGACCCTTTCCCTGGTGCTTACTGTGGGCATTTAGAAAGTGGGTGGGGCCAGCCGGGGCTTTGGCCCAACAGGGCTTTTGGTTGGCTGTGTAGATCGAACTGTTAAACTGAGCTTCGACCTGAAATGTCGAAGCGTTCCATACATTGCCTTGCTCGCTGACATTGGGTCGGCCTCCCGTGGCGGCCATATTGTGGCTGCACCCACCACCCCATGTCGGAATTCCAAGCACGGGCTCAGGAAGGCCTGGGGACCCCCGGCTCAGAGGGCTCCGCCTACTTTCTCCCCCCCCCCCCGCTAAAATAAAACCCGTTCGCCGGTAGAGATGCTAGAGATACCTGAGGAGACGGTGGGGTAATTTATATGCACGGAATCATTCCCAAGACACTTTCCTGTGTTGTAAGGAAATGGGCTGTGGAGCATGTTCTAACCTTCGCCGAGGGACGTGCTTGAAAGTCTCTCTCTGTTAAGCAGATAGAGAGGAACTGAGTGAAGACTGCAGAGGAGCCGGGTAAAGATCCCAGGGGCCATTCCGATGGCCACGGATGTCTGCTCAGCCGATGACAAAGTAACTTGGCAGAATGTGGCCCATCCGTGCCTGCTGGCCGCTTGCCGTGAATTGTCGTCCATAGGCAGGGGAGCTTGTGTGTCTTGCGTGTGCAGTTCTCTTGAAGATGGAGCACCCCATGATTATCGTTATGATAAACTTAGGATAAATATAACTTGAACTCTAAGGAATATGTACTTTTTCAGGAACCGCAATAGAAGATTTTAGGGATTGGATTAATCGCTTATAGCTTTAGAAATTATTCAAATGAAAGAGGGATGGAAACAAAGGTTTAAGGCGGAAATTGTATTGTAGCAGCTGTTATATAAGCTTGATGGGAAATTTCCCTTTAATGTCTTATCCACTTCCCCATGTCCTTCCCTTCCTACAATGTCCTATATATTAATGAAAATCAAATAAAAGTTTAATTTTAAAAGAGGAGGAGGAGGAGGAGGAGGAGGAGATTGGATTTATACCCCGCCCTTCACTACCCAAAGAAGTCTCAGAGCGGCTTACAAACTCCTTTCCCTTCCCCTCCCCACAACAGACACCCTGTGAGGTAGGTGGAGCTGAGAGAGCTCTGACGGAAACTGCTGTTTTTCAAGAACAGTTCTGAGAGAACTGTGACTGGCCCAAGGTCATCCAGCCAGGTGCAAGTGGAGGAGTGGGGAATCAAACCTGGTTCTCTCAGATTAGAGTCCGCGCACTTAACCAATGCACCAAACAAGAAGACGGAACACCCCTTAGGGTTATCTTTGGGGAGAGGAATGGCTTGTACTGGAGCTTCCTTCAGGACAAATGACCCATGTCATATGGAGAAGCACATGCCCCTGTGTATCGGGGACACTGCATCGGGGCTTTTTATGTCACGCACATGAACACACATGAAGCTGACTTACGCTGAGTCAGACCCTGGGTCCATCAAAGTCAGTATTGTCTACTCAGACTGGCAGCGGCTTTCCGGATTCTCAGGCAGAGGTCTTCCATGTTACCTACTACCTGATCCTTAACCGGGAATGTCGAGGATTGAACCTGGGACCTTCTGCATGCAAAGCAGAGGCTCTTCCACTGAGCCACGGCTCCTCCTTCCTTCCTGCAGCTTCTGGAGACATGGTTATGTGGGTCAGTGACCATGTTGGTCTGCAGTAGGACAGTTTGATTTGAATTCAGTAGCACCTTGAGACACCAACAAGATTGGGGAGGGGGGGATAGGAGCTTTCAAACTCATACCCTGAAAATCTTATCGGTTTCCAAGCTGCTACCGGACTCAAATCTAGATTTTTCCCATGGTGCCTTTGATCTGTGTTCTACGTACTTTTTTTAAAAAATAAATTTTTATTGAGTTTTTAAACATTTATAAACATGAAACACAAAACTAACAATAACTACATAAGGATAAACTAGGTGGTTACCTCCACATAATATACGTATATGTTCCTGAACACAAGTTTCAACAAAAGTTTGTCTAGGGAAGAGCGAATACATAGTAGGTATTTTCCGTTATAAGCTTCAAAAATAAAACTCTATAAACAGGTATTTCTTTGTACTTGGCAGGCATATGTTCTACGTACTTAACAGCTGGGATAGGAACAATTCACCAAAGAGAAGCCAGTTCTCCGGTGGTCCAGGAGTGGGGCAGTGGTCCAGGAAGGGGGCAGTCCTTGACTCCTTACTCTTGGGAAAGCACCTCCCCCTTCCGTAGGCAGGGCCGGCAAACTTTGATCCCAGAGGGGAGGGGCTTATCCTCTGATCCCCAGTCTTACCGGCCCTGCCTTCTGAGCAGGACGTGCTGGCTGTGCTCTGAAAAGCACGAAGATCCCAGAAGACACCGGAAGGACAGAAGAAGAAGCGGAGACCTAAAGGGCAATGAGAGAAGGTACTTACCTTCCAGCCCTAAAACATATTCGAGAGCTGCAGGCCTCGAATTACAAGGGATCCGGCACCGGCAGTCTTGGGAGGCCCCCAGGCAGTCGCGGCGCCGAGAGGAACGACTCGAACCCCGCTGGGAAGGCGGCGGTAAACTGCTCTCCCCCCCCATCCAGCCACGGCGGCGTGCAGCGGTTTTGGGGACAGACGCTCAGTGAAGAGCCTGGGGAGAGCAGAGGCAAGAGAGGCGGCCGAGGGTGGTGCAGAATCTCTGTCACCTTCCCTTTCGGCATTGGAATGGAGCCCCCTCCTTGTTCCGGATCGTGGCGAGGAGGGACGTGTCTCCTGCGCAGTCTACCCGGTCGGCTGAACCACGGTAGGACTGTATCCATTGAGAACTGGTAAGGTGTGGAGGGGGAGAGAGAAAGAGGACTAACCCCCCTCCTCCAGTTTTCTTTTCCCTGCCCTTTACTCCTTTCTCTGGATCTGGATGGGAGGTTCTTTAAAAGGGCGAATTGCTTCTGGTTCATGGGTCAGGTCTCTAGCAGGGACATTTTACAGTCCTTATTGCTGGGCCTTTTGGAAAGGGAGCAACAATAGACAGCCTACTTCTTCCCCACCTGATTCTTCTGATGTGGGTGGGGCAAGGCTCCATTTTGGGGCTCTGTTAGGAGAGTGATGGTGGCTACTTTCACTTTCAGGTTCCCCTAAAATGGCTGAGAAGGCGGGAACATCTAGCTCCCAAGGCACAGAGAGTCTTAACCCTTCACAGATTACCAATATAGCCTCCCAAAATACTGAGCCCTCAGGAGAGGAAGCCCAGTCAAATTTCTCTCCTGGCTTAGAGAGGAAATGAGAAAGAATTCACTGGTCTAGGGCAACAGGCAGCTTCTTCCTAGGCTACTGTCCTCTCTGCTAAAAGAGACAGGAGCCCCAGTATAGAGGGCAGCCCTCCTCCTAGAAATACAGGCCTCCCAAGCATAGTGCCAGAAAAAAGGTGAACTATTAGAGCAGGAGAAAGAAAAGGGTGCCTGTCATTCAATCTAGACTCTTGCTCCTAATCTCTATAATAGAATATGGGCTAAGGTCATGAGGGCACTAGAGTTTACATACTCTCCAAAGATACAGGAAGACAAGGAGGTTCCTGGGTTCTTTCCTGTAGGCTCTGACAAAGCCATTCCCAAGTGTGCCGCTTCCTGTGGCATTATATAATATCATTACGGCAGTATGGGAACACCCAGCCTATCCAAAGTATGGGAAACCCAGTGTTTAATAAACTCTGCTTTCTTATTCCAGGAGCCACAAAGAAGTTCAAACTTCCTATGGTGGATGATTCAATTAACTTATAAGTGTCTACTTCTCTGTTTCCCGTGGATGCTGATGGACTCCCAAAAAAGACAAGGGAGTTGCAAAGGCACTGCGTAGAGTTTTTTTGAGGCGCTTGCCATCTCCCTTAGAGTATCAGCTATGGGATCCCTGTTTGCTCAAGTGGCCTACCTGTGGGCCTCAGAGCTAACTTCTGTAGACAGTGACATACCAAAGAGCCTTAAAGATGAGCTAAAACAGATAGCTCTAGCCACAGCATTTGCGACAGAAGCCTCTTTGGATGCCATACAACTCACAGCGAGGGCTATGGCATGTCGTACAACGGCCAGGAGAAATACGTGGCTGGGACACCGGAATGCAGATCCAGCAACAAGGACCAAGGTGGCAGTGGTATCTCTCAAGGGAGTTAACCTTTGAAGAGCAGGCCTGGAATGTTACTTGGTGAAAGGCAAAGGCAAGTCATGGGTGCTACCGTCAAAGAAGAAGGATATGAATTCTAGAAGGAGACCACAGTCTTTTTGAGACCTCAGTCGTGATGATAAACAACAAATGGAAGATATAGGCGCAAGAGGATAGCTTTCTCTGGGCAGTGGCACCAGGCTGTGTCGGACAAGTGGTTCCTGGAGACGCTGGCTCATGGCTACGCACTAGAGTTCAAAAGAGTTCCAAGCAACGTTTCTTGGATATCTCATGGGAAAGATCACCAGGAAAAACACAAGATGATGTTACAGGCAATCTAACATCTGTTGGACACTGGAGTGATAGAGATGGTGCCGAGACAGAGAGTTCGCTAGGAATTTAGTCCATCCCTTTACGATCACCAAGAAGAATGGGAACACTAGGGGCATCTCGGACTTGAAGTGGCTCAACAAACATGTGCAATCACAAAAGTTCAAGATGGAAATGTTGAGGTCCATTTATTTATTTTTTCCCTCCATACATGCAGGGGACTTCATGGTCTCCATAGACCTGGCGGAAGCCTATCCGCACATCCTGACAAGGGA